CCCTAACCCTTGTTTACTTGAGATAACGCTAAAAATTAAAAACTGCCGGGCATTTAGGAAATCGAAGACCGTGCCCGGCAGCCGTCAGATATACGCCGGCTGCCAGGCATATAGCCACTGTGTTAAATTAATGACAGATATGGTGGCTACGCGTCCGGAACCGGTTGCCTAGCTTCCAGGCTAAGCATCCGGACATCCACTCACACAGTGATTGTGCGACATGCGTACACGCATGATTGCGCAATGGGACGCTCTGCTGATTGCCGAAAATATACAATATACGTTAATGCCTGGTTAGGGTTAGGTTAAGCCTCCCCTTGAAACCTATATCACGACATTAATGACATGAAAGTTGGGAACGCTCCTCATGGAGCGTTAGCCGTAAAATAGAATTATGCACTGCTGCCGTCTATCCTTTCAGTTTCATCCGTCCCATATCGCTCGCTTGCTCTCTCTCTCTCTCTCTCTCTCTCNAATCTAGAGACACGGTGTTATTGAGAGCTACGGTCAAACCAATAAGAGTGCCCATATGGTGATGCTGTTTAACCGTTAGGGTCGGCGCTCTGTGCCACCAGGACCCGGAGATACTCCATTGGTATTGTAGTGGCTCTAGGGGTGGCCACAACTGGATTTTCACACGTGCCATGGTTAGCACATGTAATTTATTTGTTTCGATGCCATTTTTTTCGCTCCTCCCGTAAAGGCAGGGAACGGGCCTATACAGAATGGGGATATACCATGCACCAAGCCCATGCTCGCGACGTAAGGATAGATATATAGATCTCAACTTAAAAGCTGGACACGAACATCAACTTATGTGACGTTGTCACTGGCAGTTCAGTCTCGTATTCTCCCGTGATAGACTTTGTTCGTGTGTCGGGGACAAGATCCTGTCTCTTCAGATCATCAGTTCGTAGAGGGAGACTCGCTCTACTAAGCTATGTCAGATTTAACCGTCATTTGCGAAAAAGTACATTAATTCTGTCACTGACTGGCATTCGCTAAATCTTTTATAGCGCGATTGCAATCGAAAAGTAATTGTTTACACAGCCTAATCGAGATTTTCCACAGAACGCAAACGGCAAACAAGACAAATACGCTTGTGTTCACATCTTATCAAATCTGAGTTTGTGGGTCATAAATATAAAACCGACTGCGTTCCTTCCCATATCAGAGGCTTACGGCTGCGACTGGAACCACGCGACCAAGTCTCGAACCTCTACGGGCAACATAGTTAGGGTCGTACCAGAGGAGATAAAATTGTAAAGTATGTTACCAAAGCAACAAATGCTGAAGTACGCATTTGGGTGATGCAGTAGCAAAAAACCCCCAGAGTGAAATATAACTAAGTCTGATACTTCAATGGGATACGAATAGGGCAGTCTTCAAGCACACATAGCCGATTCAGCGGCCATACAAGCAGACTAGAGACACGCGGTCATCACAGCAGGCTCAGAGACAACGTCATCAACAGCAGCTAGGAGACAACGCGCTCCATGCCACATCAATATAGGATTAGGCAGGCGGTCATTCACAGCAGCTAGGAGACATACGGTCATCACATCAGATAGAATTAGGGCGGGCATGCGTCTTCACCCAGCACTAGAGACAGCGGGTCATCACAGCAGCAGAGACAGCGTGTCATCCACGACAAGCTAGAGACAAGCGGTCATCACAGCACGCTAGAAGAAACGGGTCATCAACAATCCAGATAGATAGGATCCTCAGCGGTCATCACAGCAGCTAGAGAGCAGAGCCGTCATAAACACCAGCAGTAACGGTCATTCAAACAGCGCTAGAGTACGAGTACGTGTCATACACATCAGATGATGACAGGGGGCCAGCGGTCATACAGCAGCTAGAGACAGCGGTCATCACAGCACAGAGATCAAGCGGTCCACAACATCCTCAGATAGATAGGCAGCGTCATGCACAAGCAGCAGAGACAGCGGCGTCATCACAGCAGCTGAGAGACAGCGGTCATCACAGCAGCTAGAGACAACGGTCATCACAGCAGCAGAGACAGCGGTCATCACAGCAGCTAGAGACAGCGGTCATCACAGCAGCTAGAGACACGTCATCCACAGCCACTAGAGACAGCGGTCAATCATATTCATCACAGCAGCAGAGGCAGCGTCATCACAGCAGCAGAGGCAGCGTTCATCACAGCAGCAGAGGCAGCGGTCATCACAGCAGCTAGAGACAGCGGTCATCACAGCAGCTAGAGACAGCGGTCATCACAGCAGCAGAGACAGCCGTCATCACAACAGCTAGAGTGACAGCTGCCTGTAGGACTACAGTATAAGATGACGGCAGCTAACGTTGATGAAATCTGGCAGCATCTGGGCAGCTTCGGCCGCTATCAGTGGACGAAGGTGAGCCTCATACTCTTCGGTAACATCTTCTGGGCCTTCCACATGATGTCGACGACCTTCCTGGCCGCCGTGCCGCCGGACCGCACCTGTCCAGCGCTGACCAACGACACCGGTAACGTGACCAGTGTGCGGGAGGGCTGGCCGGGGCAGCCGTGTCCACTGCTGGCTAACGCCACGCCGGAGGGAATGCTGGACCCATGCCGGACGCTGTCCAATCTGACGTACGGTGGCTGGAATGAGACAACGCCAGAGGACGAGTGCGAGCGAGGATGGAACGATACCAACCATCCTGCGTCTATCGTTACCGACGTACGTATATAGATACAAAGCGAGGGTGGCTAACATGGGAGAAACCTATGAGCGGAGAGCTAATGAGGGAGGGGGTCGGAGAAACTGGATTAAGGATACTCTCCACCTTTTGCACGGGTATTGCTAAAATAAAGATTAAACGTTTATTGACGAATGAATCGAATCAATCACACGTTTTATTTATAGAGGAGATACATCTCTATGCTCAAGCCAAAAAAACTCATGAAATTTCCAGCACCTAATGATATTACCACACAAATTTTGAATTTTTATGTAAAAATGGTATTTTGGATATTTCTCAATTACCACAAAGAGTGAGAAAGCAAAATTTTCGTTACAGGTTAAGCACAATATGTACCAAAATAGCGCATCAGAATTTTTCTTTTAAGTTTTATATTTACTGAGAAAAATGAAAAAAAACGCTTAAAAAGTTGTGTTCGAATTGAAAATTTTAGCGAATAAAGAGGCATAAGTATTAAAATACGGCACTTAATAACAATCCCTGACGCCTTTTTTAAAGCAATATGTTACCATTAAAACAAGTGTAAAATTAAATTAATCCGAGTTGTAATCACAGAGAAATATCCATTTATACATCGGCTACTATGTCAGAAATCGAAACAGAGAAATCAGCGTTTTTCTATTTTTCACAATGATCGACCGCCTGTGTGCAAACTGGACGAACGTATGTGAAACATCTACTAGCTGTTAGTACTTACTGTGACATATCCATGACTAACTGACACCACTAAATTGGTAATATGTTCAGTAGCACCTTGAGAAAGTTGTGAGGAAATATATGAGGTTACGCACCGGCACTTTCAATGCAAAACGGCGCGGTACGATGTGTACGCATGACGTACTGAAAAAGCTAGTGTCAACAAAGAAACACGTCAGCCACTAAATATGCAGAGGTGTTGTCAATCCAAGGGAAGACGGGGTCTATCGTTGCGGGCCTCGCGCGGGACAATTTCAACCTATCACTGGCAGATGAACAGCTGTAGGAGGGGTTGATCGATGATACTGGCCGTAGTAAAGAAGATTCAATGAAATTCCGGAGTTGTGATACAATGTCTCTTGAACGGCATCAGTGAGCGTCAGCTGCTGCTCGCACGTACAAAACGTGGTACGCAGCTCGGGCAATTCTTGCAAAATGCTCTAAGAAGTTCACGATGTACCGTGTTAGGTGGAGAAATGAGGCAATATAACAGAGGTAGGGCAACAAGTGTTAGCCAATCGAATAAAGTTGAAAATGAAAATCGGTAAAATTTTGCCTAAAACCTGAGAGTATCATTTAAAGGAAAATTACAGGGCGATGCATCTTGGTGTCATATCTTGTGCGAAATCTTCTCGCCTCTTGGTACGTGCGCGTGTGTGTGATATATGTGTGTGTGTGTGTGGTGTGGTGTGTGGTGGTGTGTGTCGTGTGTGTGTGTGTGTATGTGTGCGTGTGTGTTGTGTGTGTGTGTGTGTGCGTGCGTGGGCGTGAGCGTGTGTGTTGTGTGTCTGTTGTGTGTGTTGTGTGTGTGTGTAGTGAATTGTTGTTGTGTCGGGGGGGGCGCGGTGGCTTGTAAGTGTGTGAGTGCGTGCTTGCACGTGCGCGCGCGCGTGTGTCTAAATTCTAAATTCTCACAGTCTGGCTCCCTTCTAGCTTTTCTTTATTACCCCCACCCACACACACACACACGCCACACACACCAGTGTTTCATTGATTGCTGCTGGGCTGATGTGTGGCTTTGTGTTGTGTGTACATTCAGTGGAACTTGGTGGGCGACCGAAAATACCTAGTCGGACTCAGCGTATCAATAATGATGATCGGAATAATGGTGGCCAACTGGAAGGTAGCTGAAATTGCCGACCATTACGGACGGAGAAAGGTGAGCCACGATATGTCACTATATACGTGTATTATTCTCATACTTCACTTACATCATTACCTACACCTTTAATATTACCTATACTTTACCAGTTATTTATTAAATTTGATTATATATTCTAATATTTTTCTAATATTTTATTATTTTATTTTAGTCATTTTATTTTAATTATTATAGTAATTAAAAACATAATTTTCCAGTATTGTTATTACTTGTGTGTGATCACTTCATAGGTCGTTGAGAATCAGTCTAAGTGATCACCATTTTATACATTTTTTTCCGTTCGATTTGTTTCTCGCTAACTCGTATACCTGTTTTGGTTCGAAACGCTGTCAGTTATTTACAATGAACACCATGAATTGGAAATACTTTTGAATTTCTGCTAGATAACACATCATAACAGGCGTCACTACTTTTTTGTTGCTGTAATTTTATATACAATGTTTTACGATATTTTGTCTATTCCCAAACTTATCAGTCACGTGCTGTTTTATCGTTTTTATAGCAAGCATATTTAACGTTTATTTTGTGACTGCATGATGCACGGAAATAGTCTGTTTTGAATTGGCAGTCGTTGTTATCAGGGCTGCTATATAGCACCCGTCATAAAAACCGGTGGGGGTCTGCATACGGGGAGTTTTAGCAGGAAGTTAGCAGTCGCGCGTTGTTATCACTGCATGAACTATAACAAAAACTATATAGTTATGAATTTTGCACAGGGGAGAGATAGTGATCCGCTAGGGGACGGCTCTAGCTGATTGGCTAATTTTGTCTCTTATTTATTTTATTTTTTAAATATTTTTGGCTAATTTTGTTTTATTTTAGAATTAGGGATAGGGTTAGGGTTAGGGTTAGGGTTAGGATTAGGGTTAGGTTTAGGGTTAGGGTTAGGGTTAACTTATTTCTATATTCACTATCTCTCCCCTGAGACCTACTATATTGTTATAGTTCAGTGGTTGTTGTCAGGGCTGCTATATAGCACCCCTCATAAAAACCGATTGGTAGTCTGCATACACAGAGTTTTAGCAGGAAGTTAGCAGTCGCGCGATGTTATCAGGGCTGCTATAATGCAGCCCTCATAAAAACCGGTTGGTAGACTGCATACACGGAGTTTTAGCAGGAAGTTAGCAGTCGCACGATGTTATCAGGGCTGCTATAATGCAGATTTTTATGAGGGAACCAGGGTAGTCTGCATACGCGGAGTTTTAGCAGGAAGTTAGCAGTTGCGGGCTGTTATCGAGGCTGCTATAATGCAGCCCTCATAAAAACCGGTTGGTAGTCTGCATACGCAGAGTTTTAGCAGGAAGTTAGCAGTTGCGCGCTGTTAGCAGAAAGTGGATTCTAAATTCATGGTGTAAAGCAATGTCTTATAGCAGGTGTAAAGCACACCAGCTAAATTATAAGCAAAATAGTCAACGCATAATTTTTGAAAAGGTCGAACTTTACTTCTGCTAGATTTCATAAAATTTTTCTTACCTATAGCTTGTATATAAAATTACAGCAACGAAAAAGTAGTGACGCCTGTTATCTAGCAGAAATTCCTATTTCCAAGAATTCAAAAGTATTTCCAATGGTGTTAAACCCGTAAACTATATATATAGCTCATGGGCTGTTCATAATTCCGATCCTGCTATGACTACTGTACAACATTTTACTGACTATACTGTGATTATCGTTATGTTCATTACGCTTTTGCCAGGTGCTATCTTGCACTGTCGTGCACTGTTTTATATGACACACACATATATATATATATATATATATATATATAAATATAAATATATACACTATATATTTATGTGTCAGTGTGCAGCAGCTAGCGTGCGGTGTACTTGTGTGTTGCAGATTAGCATTTGACCGGCATTTACAGGTGATTATAGGCGAAATAGAGTAGAGAGACATTAAGTCTTTGGTAGGCCTAGTAAATACATTTCGTGGTTATTTACCTTTTTTTATTTATTGAGACGTTTCAAGTACCTGTGGTTACAGGTGCCCGTGCGCGAGTTTTTCGCTCCTCACTCACACTGACACTGTGTGAAACCGCCGTAGAGCCTAGCTCTACGGTTCACTACTAGTGGACTTGCCTAAAATACGCTTAATTATTAAACAAATAAAATCAAAATACACAATTAATTATAATTTATTCTTAATTATTCAATAAATCGATTGCGGCATGTAGCGTAGCCCAGTGTTTTTCTAACCGCATAATAATAAGTTTAGGAGATAAGTTCTTATGTCGCAGGGGTTATCGTGGGGAGTGAGGGCACTGCAGATTAGAGCCCAGTTAATTACTGCAGTACAGAATGTTCAGAATCAACCGAGCTAAATTTCTCATAAGTGTCTGCGATCACAAATACATGTACATGATGTACATACAGATCTTCGCACAACTGAAATTTATAAATTTATATTAAATTAAATTCATTTTAATATATTACTGTATTATGAGTGTGTATACTACTGTGTGAACGACCCTACTACACAGTTCCGTAAAGTCGGACTCAGGTCGCCCTACGACCCGTCTAATTTATCGCCTATTAACATCGTAACAAAACTCATGTCGATTTGAGGTGATTTTGGGCTGTACATGGCCGATCAGTATTTATAGCACCGACCAGATCGTAGCGTTCTGCAGGAAACGTAGACTGGTTCGCGGCCCCAGTGTTTGTACCAGCACAAGCAGTTCTTTAGCACAAACAGAGCAAGCTTGACGCCTGTACCAGTCTACATAAAACGAGTACTCTTTATATTTTTAAATCAAACCTCTTTGTAAATACTGTGAATAAAATTTAAAATTTACAAAACCATTGGACAGACACTTACACATGAGGCTACACAACTGAGTTTGACATACAAGGAATATCGACTGGGAACACGAGCAGCTGCTTGTGTTGCTTAGCCATGTGCCATCTTTGAATGAAATCACCTTTGTCACCACAGGCACTTGGGCCGTTTCAATAATAAAATGATGGTTAATAAATACAACTTGTCCGTACTAGACCTACCAGTACCAGTAATAGTCTTAATGTTTGAGTTGACCTAATAACTTTACTTCAATACCGTCCAATACACCGCTACAACATACATTCCTACAGCGCGCACGCCATTGTGCACAAATACACAGTAATATAAAGTATACTCGTCGTCGTGGTAGTCTTCGTCAGGTTCTTCTAGCGTTTTACAGGTGAAAAAACTGTGCTTTTCAGCGTTTTTCTTCCCCGTTTAATGAATACAATCAATGATAGCGTCAATAACAACGCTAACCGTTAATGACGACATCACCGAAGAACAACAATGCCAGCTTCAGACGATGACAACGACTTCCAAACATCTGGAAATACGGCATAACCGACTCGCGGGAGAACGCGACGAAACACATCCGTCGCCACGCGTCCCACACCAGGCCCGTAACCAGGGGGGGGGATCGGGTGGATCGGACGACCCCCCCCCCCCGCGGAACAGGGAGTTCCGTCTCAAAATAAAAATTGCACAAAAGAACACAGAAATGAAATTGGATTTGGATTATTGTAATACTGTATTATTATTGTATTACGTTGTTGTATATCACAAAGTGATCATATCTGAAAAGGGGTCATCTACTTATCCATGCATTCTTCATTATGTATGCAATTGTAACAGCGGCCATGAGGCGCGAAGATAATTACAGCGCCGCAGCAAGTCATGAATGCGTATGCACCGCGTGCGCGCGTCGCGCGAGCGCGTGGGCGATCCGCCGGCGCGGCGGTGATAGCGGGTCCGCGCGCGGCAGCGGTGATAGCGGTCCGCGCCGCGTCGCGTGTATGCGGCGGCGCGGTGATAGCGGTCCGCGCGCGCAGCGGTGGTATGCGGCGCAGCGGTGATACGGTCCGCGCGCGCAGCGGTGCGGCGGTGATAGGGTCGGCGCGGCGCGGAGCGGTGGTATGCGGCGGCTGCGGTGATAGGGTCCGCGCGCGCAGCGGTGGTATGCGGCGCTGCGGTGATAGCGGTCGCGCGGCCGCAGCGGTGGTTGCGGCGCGGCGGTGATGCGGTCGCGCGCGCGCAGCGGTGGTATGCGGCGGGCGGTGATAGCGGTCCGCGCGCGCAGCGGTGGTATGCGGCGGCGCGGTGATAGCGGTCCGCGCGGCGCAGTGCCGTGCGGCGTGATAGCGGTCGCGCGCGCGCAGCGGTGGTGTGCGGCGCGCGGTGATAGCGGTCCGCTGCGCGCAGGCGGTGGTATGCGGTGCGGCGGTGATAGCGGTCCGCGCGCGCAGCGGTGGTATGCGGCGCAGCGGTGCATAGCGGTCCGCGCGCGCAGCGGTGGTATGCGGTGCGCGGTGATAGCGGTCCGCGGCGCGCAGCGGTGGTATGCGGCGCGGCGGTCGATAGGCGGTCCGCGCGCGGCAGCGGTGGTATCGGCGCGGCGGTGATAGCGGTCGCGCGCGCGCAGCGTTGGTATGCGCTGCGGCGGTGTAGCGGTCCGCGCGCGCAGCGGTGGTATGCGGCGCGGCGGTGATACGCGGTCCGCGCGCGCAGCGGTGGTATGCGGCGCGGCGGTGCTAGGCGGTCCGCGCACGCAGCGGTGGTATGCGGGCGCGGCGGTGCCGCCGCCGGCGGTGAGATATACCGCGCGCGCGCACGGACACTTATATATATATAACAATATATAACTATAAACATATATAACAATAATATATATACACTATATATATAGTGTAAGCGTGCAACAGTGAGCGCGAGCGCAATGGCCGCCGGACAGCGTATGTTGTACATAGGATTTGGGACGGATTTACAGGATAACTGTGCGGCATAATAGGTGAAGAGAGAGTATAGAAACTTAAGAATTTGGTAGTAAATAGATTTCGTATTTAGTTAGCATTATATTTTATTGAAACGCTTCAAGTGCCTGTGCTGCGGTGCGCGTTGATATGCGGTCCGCGCGCGCAGCGGTGGTATGCGTGCGGCGGTGAGATATCCCGCACGCGCGCGCCTGCGGTGCGGCGGTGATATGCTGCACGCAGAAG